CCCCCTCCCAGGAGACTCAGGTCTCCTCCCCAGGGGCCCAGCTTCCCCCACCCCTGCCCTGAGACTCACGTCTCCTCTCCAGGGGCCCAGCTCCCCCCACCCTGGGACTCAGGTCTCTCTCCCCACCCTGGGACTCAGGTCTCTCCCCCCAGGGGCCCAGCTTACCCCCCCCAGAGACTCACGTCTCCTCCCCAGGGGCCCAGCTCCTCCCACCCTGGGACTCAGGTCTCTCCCCCCAGGGGCCCAGCTCCCCCCCACCAGAGACTCAGGTCTCCTCCGCAGGGGCCCAGCTCCCCACTCAGGGACTCAGGTCTCCTCCCCATGGACTCAGATCTCCTCCCCCAGAGGCCCAGCTCCCCACCCCCACCCAGGGCCTCACGTTTCCCCCCCAGGGCCCAGCTCTTCCCCTGCCCAGGGAAGTGAGCCCCAAGCATGAACACGTCCCCCTAATGGGCCAGGAAGGAAAATCCTCAGGAAGAGCCCCTCAGAGTCACTGGGCACCAGCCTGGCACACAGAAGGCCCTTGGTAAACAGTGCACGAGGGCTCTGTGACCTACAAAATGAAACGCGCAGGTTCTTTCCAGGATGGAAAACTCTCTTCCCCGTAAAGACCCACGTCCTGAGATGGGCAGCAGTGATGGAGACAAGTTGAACCATTGATGCTGATACTTAAATCCGAGGCTGCCCAGGTAGAGATCCAAGCACAGAGGTGAGCCATCCTGAAGACAGTAACGGGAGGGATGAGTTTCCGTCTCCCGAATTCCTCTTCTTAATCGAGCTGAGGTGGACATGTGACGTTGCAGGTTGGGTATATCAGGCGGAAGGACTGGCTACGTGCCCAGTTGTGACGGGATGGCCACCGTAAGTTCGGTACTACTGAAGTGTCACATGTGACGAGAAATTCTGTCTTCCCTCTTAGTGAATGTTAAGACTACCATAGACTATTGCTAACTATACTCAATTGACCTTGAAAGTGACGCAAACCGAGCGGAACTGTCAAAAGGAGGAGTGTCTTTGGGAACAGCAGGGACTTGCCACCGGGACGAGCACACCAGCCACAGGCGAGGCCACGGGGACTTGGGGCCGTGAGCGGCAGTGAGTGTCCAGAGGGGAGAGTTTACCCAGAGTGTTAAAATCTAAACAAATGAAGACCAGCCCAGAAACCTCCCCCAGCCGACAAAACCACCGCAGTCATACAAACAAAAGCTCAATTCAGCTTATCTGGTGACACCCGCCCCACTAGGGTCACTCGAGAAAATTCTAGTATTACCTCGGTTTCCTGTCAAGCAGGCATTTATGGGAAAACAGTGTCTCAATCCGTAAGTTCTGTGTTTTTGAGGGCACATGCATTTTCATGTCCTCCGGTTTCACTTTATTTATTTTTACATTTTATTTTATTTTTATACATAGAATTTATCATCAAGTTAGCTAACATAGAGTGTAGACAGTGTGCTCTTGGCTTCAGGAGTAGATTCCCGGGACTCATCGCTTCCATACAACACCCAGTGCTCGTCCCCACAGGTGCCCTACTCAGTGCCCATCACCCACCCACCCCCACCCCCCATCGATCCTCAGTCTGTTCTCAGTATTCAATATTCTCTTAAATGGTTAGCCGCCCCCCCTCTGTTTGAACTGCTTTTTCCCCTTCCCCCATGGTCTTCTGTTGAGTTTCTCAAACGTCCATCAGCGATGAGTGGTTTATATAAACAGGGAATACTATTTGGCAACGAGAAAGATGAAATCCTGCCCTTTGCCACAATGTGGATGGAACTGGAGGGTGATATAAGTCAGGCAGAGAAAGACAGATACCGTGTTTTCACTCCCATGTGGATCTTGAGGAATCTCGATTTCAGCCCCCCCCCCCACCTCCCGGGGGCTGACTTATCTCACAGCTGCAAGTTTCTACCCTGAGACCCTGAGTTCTCAAACTGGTGTCTGTTCACTTCTGGTGGTTTGCTGGGCGACAGAATGCTGAGGTGACAGTCCACGTGTCGTCTGTGGCCTCTGGTCCTTATTTTGAATGCCTAAGGATGTTTAAATCTTAAGGTTCAGATCGTTCACATTTTGCAGTGCAAGAACGTTACAAACAACTCCGTCTGACCGAATGCTTTTGCAGCACGGAGACAAAGCCAGCCACACCCGATTTCCCCAGGTCCCAACGTTTCGCAAGGGTGACCATGTCCACCCTACCTGTCATCATCCAAACTCCGGGGTGTCCTCTCTGCCCGTGCACGACCCCCTGCTCTCCACGCCAGGTGCCTTGCTGTCCTAAGCAGAGCCCCACAAGGACTTCCTGTCTGTCTGTGGGATTTGTCACAGCAACCAGAGCCGGATGGCTGGATGAGGCATGCCTATGCAGGACGGAAGGTCCTGCCCCCCCCCTCGGAATTTGGGCCTGGCCGATGCCGAGCTGTGCCCTTGCCACACTGAGTTTCCCCAGGGCCGCCCTAGCATGTGGGACCTGGAGGTTCCCTCCCCTGTCCTGAGGGGAAGGACCCCCAGGACCCCTGCCTCCTGCGCCCTGAGTTCTCAGGAAGGTTCTGTTTCTACACTTGCTTGTTTTTGCTCCCCACCCCCCCCCAAACAAAGAGAAGTAAGAAGAGAATCGGGTTGCCAAGGCAAACTGGGGGGGGGGGGGGAGGGGCAGGGGACAGGACAAGCCCCTCATTGTGTTCCCTGAAGTTGGTATGCATCATGCATCTCATTTTCTGACTTATTACAAAACTTTCTGCCTGAATCTGTAGGAATTACCAGCCAGTCCCTCCCCTCCCCCCACAGTAAATACAGGCACAGTGACATGAGGACGGCTTGCTCAGCCCTCCTCCTCCTCTGCCCCCCCCCCCCCCCCCACCTGTGAGTCACTGGCCCTCCCTGCCCTCCCGCCTGGCTCCCTCCTGGGGCTGTTGCTATATTCCCGAGTAAGCGCGCACAGGGGGGGCCCTGTGGACACGTACCACGTACTGCCCAGATACGTACCAACAACCGGTATCAATGTGCATCAAAATGCATTTATAAAGTGTATTTTATATCAAATACAAATCCCAAGAAAAGAAACTTCCCTAAATTTGTATAATTCTGTATATCCCAAGGACACGGTGTTAGTTAAATGTCTCGGAGGTGAACTAACTCATACAACTGAAACCCAGTAATGATGCTTCTAAAACTTGCCAAATGTCTACAACTATGAAAATTCAGTGGTAAAGCTAGTCTCCTGGATAAGAAACCTACCCTCGAGCATCATCTAGTGACGAGTCAGTGGAATTAGCCATTAAGAGATGGGTTGTGGATTCAGGGGGGGATCCCTTCAGGTGCCCAACCCCCAAGCCAGGTACGTTGGGAGTCGTGACCCCCAGGACCTCAGAATGTGACCTTCTATGGAAATAGGGTCTTCACAGAGGTAGTCAAGGTAACACGAGGCCATCAGTGTGGCTCCGGGTGGAGGATGCCAGCTCTCCTTGTACGAAGGGGAATCTGGAGTCAGCGCGGCGGGCAGGCACGCACGTGGGGAGCCGGCACGTGAAGGGAACCACCAGAAGCGGGGAGAGTGACCGGAGCAGACCCTTCCAGCACCTCCAGGGGGAACCGGCCCTGCCCTCACCCCCACCTCGGATGTCCAGCCTCCAGGATTCGAAAAAACACATTTCGGTTGTCCCAAGCGTCCCAGTTATGAGGGGCCAGGTCCTCCAGACCCGGGGCGTGGGAAGGCACAGGTTGTGCATCAGAGCCCAGCCCGGACACTTGCTAGCGGCCTGTACACGTCATTCCTCGGAGCTCCCGTAAATATGCGTCATGCACACAGCGCCCGTGTCATTACAGAAACAGATGCACATATATGACCGGGACGTCTGTGTCTTAGTCCGACCGGGTGTCCATAGCAAAGAAAACCACAGCCGGAGGCTTAGACCACAGGCATTCCTCACAGTTCTGGAGGCGGAAGGGGGACATCCGGGTGCCACCAGAGCCCGTGTGTGGGGAGAACTCTCCTCCCGGTGCCCACGGGGCCGTGGCACGGCAGACGCGGGGAGAGAGCTAAGGACGCTAATCCCCTCATGAGGCCCCCGCCTCCAGGCCTGATCACCTGCCAGAGCCCCACCCCCTGGCACCATCCCGTCACCTTGGGGGAGGATGCAGACATTCAGTCCCTGGAAACCTCCCTGGGACAACACGGGTGGAGGGGACCCCTCTTTTTTGCTCCCGGACTGGGAGCTGTCGCGGGGCGGGCGGCTAAGAAGCCGCCAGGTCATTCCACACTTCCACCCCAGGGTCGGCCTAACTAGGTGCCTGTTAGATGGATACAGGTGGGCCCAGGCACCAGTGGGACGTGGTGCCTTAGGGACCCCCCCCCCCACACTGCCACCATGTCAGTTCTCAGGCCTCAAGACGTCTTCACACAGAGTTTACAATCCAGTGTTTAAATTCCCCAGTGCTTACCTCACAGGATTCAGTTCACAGTGATGAGCCTCGACTAGGAAGGACCCTTGTCCTGGGGCCCCGCGGCGCCCCTCCTGCCCTCCCTGACCCCCCCACCCAGGCCCCCCAGCCGCCTCTCCCGCTGCACCCCACCTCCAGGGCGGCCTCCTGGGCTCCACAAATCTCCTGCTGGGTCCCTGCAAATGCCCTTGAGAGTTTAACGCCTCTCACCAAAGTCCTCATTAAGAAGCTACGTGCCTGGATTTTAAACAGAGGGTGACAGCCCCAGGTGGCCCGCAACGGGCCCACCTGATTAACCTGCACACTCATTTGCACGCAGGCTCCCCTTTCCAAGAACTTTCTTTCTCCCCCTGAATTTGCAAGTAACATGTCAGCGCGGGGCACAGAGACCTGAACGTCTCACAGACCTTGTCTACTCTTCTTTTCAATTAATATTTAATTACGCACTTCAGTTAAGAACTTAATTACTTCCACACTGACCTTCTGCCTACTCTTTTAACATAAAACAGAGACTGCGCATCGAATCTTCGGGAAAAATGAGAGACTTACGACTAGTCGCAAACGCTTACCGAGTGTTCATCCGGTGGCAGGCGCCGTCCCAAGGGCTTGGCTCGTGGAAAGTACTAGCTTGACGGATCCCACAGCGGGGCCGGGAGGTGAGGGGGGCCACACGCAGAAGACCCGGCCGCCAGGCAGCGCGACGGTAATTACCGGACGGTGGCGACGCCTAGTGGACCTGGCAATGCGGGCCGGAAGTATCTAGATATTTAGCAACCCAAAGTGGCCGCACCGTGGGCCGCCTGGTTGCAGCGTAGTGGCAGGAAGGTCGCCAGCCCCGTGTCCAGGAAAAGGAACCGAGGCAGGCAAGTCCGGCGCCGGCCCGGAGCCTGCGCACAGAGGAGCCGCGCAGTCTCCGTCACCTCCGCTCTGGCTCGTCTTCGGGAGCGCGAGGGCACCCTGCGAGCGGGCGTTGCGAGAACGGTTTCGCGGTCAAGTACGTTTTCCCGCCGACTGAGGGCGGTTAAGTGCACAGAACAGGATTTTAAATGAGAAGACGAATACCCACGTTCCAGACGACCGGCCGTCGTCACCTCGGCTAGTCACCCAGCAGCCCTCGCGCCCACGCTCGTGCCCACGCTCGCACCCCGCCCAGGCCCACGCTCGCGCCCCGCCCAGGCCGCTGAGCCTTTGCGCAGGCGCTATGGACTCTCGACTCGACTCCGCCCATTTCTCCCGTGAGCCACCGTTCCTGTACCTCACCACGCCCCCTACCGCCCAGGAAGATCAGCGGAAGTCCCGGGAAGACGGGCGCTCTGCGTTGGTCACGGCAGGCCGGGGTTCACGCAGCACGCTGGGCCGTTGTGACCTCCACGGACGCCGGACCCCTTTTCCTCACTCCCGGCTCGCTGGCTTGTCCCGCCCAGTGTCCCACGTTCCCGACTGGCCCCAGCCGCTTCTCTGTGGCTCCGGTCAACGTGTCCCGGGGACTGTCCCTCTGGGGCCTGCGTCTCTTGTAACACAGGGTGTTGATCTAGGGCCTCGGTGCCCGGGACACCTCACAGGTGACAGTGTGACCGACCGCATGACACAGGAGAGAGCCGCCAGCCTGCACCCCACGCGCCTTAATGCCGGTCGAAAACGTGGAGCGGAAGACACTCAGCCGAGAAAGTCCAGTGTTAGTGGCCCTGCTGACAGTGAGGTCCCGTGTGGACCAGGTCCCTGTGGACAGTGCCGGAGGCACAGAAGACAAACCTAACTGCCCCGAGAGTGCTCGTTCCGGACACAAAGCTTGCCGTTTCCGCCTTGGAAGAGCCCGCCCTCAGGTCTGGCATTGCTGGCGGGAAGGACTGGGCAGTGTCACAGGGCGGCCTGTGCAGTCAGGTGTCTGTCGCAGCCTCTGAGCGCCAGAGAAAGGGAGCCCGGCAGCCTTGCGGCCGTCTTTCCGGCTGACCCGCGCCGGGTCCCTTCCGACTCTGGGGCACCGGCCACCTCCGAAGCCGGCCGCATCGACGACTCTCTGGCAGGCGGGCGGGGCCCCGCAATTCAAAGATGCCTCCAGTGCCGTCTACACCGACGGAGACTCGGTTGGCCAGCGAATGGCTTCACGTCGGGGAACACCAAGAGGGCGCAGGGCAGGCAAGGGACGGGCCCGCATGCCTTCCTGTCGGGGGGCTGCTGTCTCTTAGCAAAGTCCTTGGAGAGCTGACTTCAGATGTTCTTATCCACCTCAGACTGTGGGCCCCGTAAACCATCCGGCCCTCAGCTCTGAGCCTCCGACGCCACGTAGAGAAAGCAGCATCGGTCTCCCAACATCTTCTTACCCACGAGGATTTTAAACACAGACACCTTGTAAACTCACTGTTTTGTTCCTGCTGCTGTGTCAGCTGCGTTCTGTTTTTAGGCGACTTTTGGTCTTTGGTTTTTTGTTAGTTTTCAACCGGGCTGAAAGAACTGTTGGTTCTTCTGGAAATGGAGGTACACAGCTGAGCGGAGGGTGTATGCCTGGGATCTGCTGGACGCAGGCCTCGTGAGACACGCAGGCACGAAGTGATCGTCTTGAAGGAAGCAGCTGAAGGTCGCAGATTCCTGGACACAGGAGGCAGGGCAGGTCCCACGGGGCCACCCCCCTGGAGGCCCCGGGGTCGGTCAGGGGCAGAAGAAGTGAGGGGGGAAGCCTTACTGTGGTTTTCATAGGAGGGACTGAGCCGGCAAGGGGACAGCTGACCATACCGGGGACTGGCAGGTCTGAGTAATTTCAGTTCCTCTGGGTACAGGGGCTGCCCCGGGGGTCAGAGCCCCACGGCTGAGAGCCGGAGAAAGCAGGCGGGTGGGTGGGGTGTCATCACCACCCTAGGGGATGCAGTCCCCGTGACGTCAGGGAGGCCCCCACGTATCAAAGCATCCTAAAACATAGAAAGGAAAACACAGGATTGATACACAAACCACACAGACATAACGATTTAAACCGAGATTTAGTTTCTCAGTTGAGAACACGTTTTTTTTTGTTTGTTTATTTTGAGCGAGAGAGAGAATCCCAAACAGGCTCCACGCTGTCAGCACAGAGCTCGACACGGGGCTCAAACTCATAAACTGTGACATTGTGACCTGGGTGGAAATCAACAGTCAGATGTTTAACCGACTGAACCCCCCCCCCCGGGCACCCCGGGAACACATTCTATTTTAGAGCAATGCCTCTGCTCCTTTTGAAATGTGTCAAGGCAAAGAGAAACGGTCATGTTTGTTTATTTACTTTAATCTTCTTTGAGCACATACTCCAGTAAAATAATGTTTATAAAGCATGCGTTATGAACAAAAGCGTTATATATGTGGGTAGTATTGCTTTCTACAAGTAGTAACTGCCCCAAGAGCAATCTCTGTTTTCCTGCTATCTGTAAACTCCAGCACGTACCGCTTTGTTATCTCCTATCAGTAGGCTGTGTAATAGCAAGAATTTGGCTCCCGGACGCCTGGGAGTCAGAGCTAAGTGACTTCCACGGGTAATGTTTATTGGCAGAAAAGAGCAGACGGCCCTCTTGGCCGGTGTGCCGAAATGAAGGTCCGGCCGTACTCCTGGTGGAGACATGTGACCCCCAACTCCAGAGTCATGGCCGAGCACCGCTTTGGCTCAGGTCAGACCCTGGTGCGGCCGGTCTGGCTGGTAGGCTCCTGACGGCCAGGTTTGCCAGAAGGCTCAGGTGTGAGCACGAGGTCCCCGCACCAGCTTCCCTCAGGGGTGAGGGTGGACAGCCCCAGCCAGTGGGAGCCCTATAGACATCGTGTTCCGCCCTCAGTGACTCAGACCTGTAATTGTCACCGTCAGAGGAGGCCGTGCGCCGGGCCACTGAGCAGCCAGCACCAGAGAAGACGGAAGGTTGTCTGGTTCCTGGGGGCCTGCAAACAGACATGAAGGGGCGAGCCTGAGGCCCGGGTCTGGCTCCTTCACGAGGGCTGTGACTTATTACAGGGAGACAAGAACCAGGGGAGTGTTTCCTGATTCCTGCTGGTGGCTTCTGGCGGCACCTGCCTCTCCCTGTAAATGTGCACCTGCCGGGAGGCAGAGCAGAAAGAACACTCAGGTAAGTTCTCACTGTGCGGCAGGTTCGAGAAGGGCCCACCTGCTGTGGGGATCTGCCTGCTGTGTCACGTTCGACCTGACCCTCGAAACACACTGCCTCTCATTTCCTTTTCTGTGCCTAGATATTTGATTTGTGCGTTGCATTATACTTTGTGCTGGGGGGGGGGGGCGCGGGCGGGGGAGAGGGTGACTTTTGAGCCTGTAAGTCTGTTCCCAAACTAGTACCTGAGGTAAAACAAAAAAATCCCAAGGGATCGCAGGGATCCTGTCTCTGCGGCTCTGACTTAAACATTCCTCAAGGCTGCACCACTTCCTTCAGTGGAGGAGCCCCTTCTGCCCCCCTTTCCAGGGGATGGAACCGGGCAGACCTGCGGCGGGGGGGGGGGGTGCGGGGAAGGCTCGCTGAGCACACCGCAGCCTGGGCTCCTGTGAGTTCGAAGTTGGTGAGGGTTTCTGAGTCTGAGCCTCTGCATTACTGCCTGCCTTCGTTGTGGGCGCAGTTCTGTGTCTGTGGGTGCAGCAGCCTCCGCCCCGGAAGGGCTTCAGCCCCACCCCCACCGGCTGCGAAGACCCAAATGTCCCACGCCCCCCGTGCCCCCCAGGAGGGGTCGGCTAGCCCAGGCTCGGCTTGGGCAGGGCCGCTCTGGAACAGCCTGGCTTCCTGGTCCTTGAGCAAACACACTCTTATCGAGTCACTTTTTTAAACGCTGGTTGTTTTGCTTGTGTGTTTGGCCAACCGAGACTCATGGTTCTTTCTGGGCCAAGATAATCACAGCCCTCGGCTTCCAGATCATCCTGTCCTGCAGAGAGAGCCCCGCCCTGGCTCAGCTGACACTCACGGAGCAGAAGCCTTGATGTTCCCAGACACTTGAGATGAATTCCAGCCTTGTAGGTTTGTGGTTCAGAGAGGTCACTCACACCTTCCCAGGTCGCAACACCAGCCCAAGCAAAGGGACCCCAGTTCAGGGCCCTCTGAAAATCTTGGACGTGAGCCATCAAAACCATGGTTCGTGGTTCAAACACATACTTTTCAGAAAAGAGTCAGATGCAGTGAATACTCATATAGGCAGGAATGATTCCAAGAGAATGCATTCTTCTCTGGCATTTTTTTTTTCTTTCTAAGAAGCTTTCATTTTGCCATAATTGTTGAAGAAATGTTCCCCGTGACACTTGAAGAGTGCTGACACAGGCATTATTCAGGAAACTACCGCCATTGATGCAGTGTCCCCGCGGTGGGCTTTGCAGTAGGGGACGGGGTGGTGGGCAAGTCCACCACAAGGAAAAGTGGGTTGTAGCCGAGGCGGGTGCGTGTTGGGGTGCCGGTGGGTGGGAAGCCTCATGCTGGGGCATTCCCACCAGACCAGCCCAACAGCATTCTTGCCAAAGCAGGCTGAGGAGATGTGTCAAGGGTAGGGATTTTGCCACAACTGGACGGAGTGTGCAAGGGCAGAGCCCCAAGGTCGGGGCCTTGAGGGTAAGAGGAGCCCCAGGAGAGCAGGTCAGGGAGCGTCTCCATCACAGCGGGGCCAAGAACCTCCTCATTGGCAGTGCAGGTGTCCAGAGAATCCCGTGTTCGTTTCTGATCTGTGGTCTGCAGATCGTGAACTGGGGTCCAATGTATTAAAATTTTTTTTTAATATTTATTTAGTTTTGAGAGAGAGAGGGAGAGAGAGAGACAGACCATGAGCAGGGGAGGGGCAGAGAAAGACAGAGACCCAGAATCTGAAGCAGGCTCTGAGCTGTCAGCACAGAGCCTGACGAGGGGCTCGAACCCACAAACCGTGATATCATGGCCTGAGCCGAAGTGGGACACTCAACCATCTCAGCCACCCAGGGACCCCTAAAATGTTTGGAATATCTCTCCTCCTCGGCTAACTGTGTTCTCTGGTAACAAATACAGGGATTTAAAAGGGGAAAGCTCCCCCTCCCCCCATGACAGCCCGTCCACTTATTTCTTGGTTCTTACCGAGAAATAACCAGAGGGGCACCTGGGTGGCTCAGTAGGTTAAGCGTCCGACTTCTGTTCAGGTCATGATCTCACGGTTCGTGGGTTCGAGCCCCTCGTCGGGCTCTGTGCTGACAGCTCAGAGCCTGGAGCCATCTTCAGCTTCTGGGTCTCCCTCTCTCTCTGCCCCTCCCCCACTTGCACTCTGTTGGAAAAAGAAGTGAGCATAAAAAATAAAAAGGAAAGAAAAAAGAAGAGGAGAAATCTCACTGCACCCACCCCACCCCCGCTAATTAATGTCTTTAAAAAATTTGTCTTGTTCTTAAGCAAGCAATGAGCTTTATTGCTTACACGATCAGAAAGGAAAGGGAATATTAAAACTGTCCTACCCACCGCCCCAAAAAAATCAGTTTCAATTGCCTCCAAACACCTCATGGCCTTGAATTTCAAAAGTCAGCCTCATCTTTCAGCAGCTGAGGGGAGGGGACAGGTTCCTTGACCTTACCACACCGGAGCCCTGGCTTTCTCACCTAGGAAGTGCGAGAATATGCCTACGTGCATCCCAGGACGTGCCAGGCCAGCCAAATGGTTGTGAATGAACCATTTCCGGAAAGCACCTGCCAGGCTGTGTCACACACAGCAGATATGTTGTGGCATCTGCTGGAGGGAGGGGCCGGTGACCCGCTTGGACCCACAGGGGCCTCAGTAGGAAGACAGTCCGTGGGTCCCTGTGGCCTCACCGGGAGGACAGTCCCGCGGGTCCCCTGTGAGCAGAAATAAGGCTGCAGTGCCGTCTGTCTTCTGAGTTGCACCAGGTTACTTATTACTGGTTGTCCCTGGATTGTTTTCCAAATGACTGATCTTACCACGATGCATCAAAGAGGGCAGAGTGGAAAGGCACAGTCCTTGAACATTTAAATTCTAGCTGAGGCGGTTTCTGCCTATGAGACTGACTGAGCAAGTTGTCGCTTGGTTTCTATGAGCCTCAGCTCTGTATTCATAAGGTGGCACTGAGGGCGAGGAAAGGGAGGCGCCCCGAGAGGCCGCACACCGCACCAGCACACAGTCACCACTACAGCTACATTTAAAACAAGTTTTTTAATCTTTACTTATTTTTGAGGGAGAGAGAGACAAAGCACAGGCAGGGGAGGGGCAGAGACTGAGGGAGATACAGAATGCGAAGCAGCTCCAGGCTCCGAGCTGTCAGCACAGGGCCCGATGCGGGGCTGGACCACACGAACCATGAGATCATGACCTGAGCCGAAGTCAGATGCTCAACCCACTGAGCCACCAGGTGCCCCTATAGCTACATTTTTATGTGACACTCAGGACCAGGATTTCACCTAAAGCAAGGTGGCACACACCAGAAAAAAAGCGCTGAACTTGAAAACCTGAATGGGAATGGAAACCTTCTTCCTGATGTGCTGAAGGTATAGACTGATTTTCTGATACCTTACTTTCAAAGAACATTCACAGTTAAAACGCCTTACTTTATCCCCACATTGGCCCCAGATGTACATGGGCAGTGGTTACCTGCAACACATCTCAGGGAAGGGAAAATAAACAAAACAAAAGCGCGTGACTCAGGATCTGTCATATTCTTAGTTCAATAAAGTTTTTGAGGGCCTCTCATGTAGGAGGCTGGATGGGTACAGGCATGTGGGTGCAGGTTAAATGGCTTTTCACAAGGCAGCAGACAGTCACTGGTCACTGAGGATGTTCTAGGGAGTGGGGGGTGGGGTGGCGCCTGGCGCCTGGCTCAGTGGGTTAAGCGTCTGACTCTTGATTTGGGCTCAGGTCATGATCTCAGGGTTCATGAGACTGAGCCCCACGTCTGGCTTCCTGCTGACAGCACAAAGCTTGCTTGGGATTCTCTCTCCCTCTCTCTGTCCCTCCCCCACTCTCACTCTCTCAAAATAAATGGTTTAAAAAAAAAAAAAAAAGAGGGAGCAGGGCCAAGTCCCTCTTCATGCAGGGCACATTTTAGTTGAAAGACACAGAAAACAAAAAATTATGGAAACAAACACATAAAAACACAAAGTGTCCGGTGGTGGTAGATGTGGTTAAGGAAGAAAGGGCTTCAGGGGAATATTCAGGGGCAAGGGCCCTACTGCGTGCTGACCTGGAGCTGTGCCCGGATGAGTCAGCGCCCCTGGAGACCTCAGAGCCCCCTACCAGGTGCTGTTCCCACATTTTCCAACAGAGCTCAGGGGTTGAGAGGCTGCACGCCAACTTCTCGAAGCTGGTGGTCCCGGAGGCCAGGGCTGTCTGGGTCCAAAGCCAGGGGGTTTACGCAAGGCCAGGCTGCCTGGCCATCTTCACTCAAAAACCAAACCCCCAATTCTAAGCCCCTGGGCTCTGTCTTCTGTGGGCTGGTTCTTGAACTACGGGAGAAACTAGGGGCACAGGCAAGGCCGGCAAGCTTTGCCTTTCCCATGGAAGTCTTCGTTCTGGAGGCTGCCTCACCTGGACGGTGAAGATAAGGACAGGGGAGTTTGACACCCAGTTGGCAGTTCCTACAGTTAATGGCTTTATATGACTAAGCAGCAGGCACTGAATGCCAATATAATGCCAGCCACTGTTCCCATCATAACATCTAATTCCCTGGGCAGTATTCCGAGTGGATGCTGTCCTAGTTTCCGTTTCACAGAAGCAGATTCTGAGGGACAGGAGCCCAGGTGATGAGGTGATGTGGGGGGCACACCGCCAGGAGAGGGGGCCTGCTGGATATCCATCACATGCCCAGAGGGGCTCTGGAAACCACAAGCCACCATAAGCAACCAGGGTCCTGGGGAGACTAAAACAACTGCTTTCTCCGGAAGATAAGGAGTTCCCAGGGGATGACATTAACACCCTGTGCCCAAGCTTTGCCTCCAGGGGTTCACAAAACCACACACAGAGGAGTGACAGTCGGGACAGACCACTCAGTGGGGCTGTCTTACGGACTTTGCAGACCAGAAACTAGGGTCGAGAGAAGTCCCTGTTCGCCAAAGGTTGGGAAGTGAAACTATCTGAATGTTCTCCATTTCCAAGTCTCTGATTGCTGAGTCACCCCCGTGTGGCGTGGAGCTGGGGCCTCCAGCTGCGGCCCAGCTGTGAGCTGCATCCCTGGGCTTCCGGGTGAGGGGAGGGGGCCTCCGGGGTAGGGGTCCCAGTGGGGGTTGTGTGGGGTCTCCGTGAAATCCCAAGGGGGGGCTCCTTGGGGTCGCGGTGGGGTCCCCGGGGGGGGGGGGTGTGTGGCTCCGCGGGGACTCTGGGGGGTCCGAGGGGACTCGGTGGGTCCCCGGGGTGGGGGGGGAGCTCCATGGGGTCTCCGTCGGGTCTCCGTGAATTCTCAGGGGGGGCTCCGTGGGGTCTCCGTGAGGTCCCGGTGTGTGTGGGGGGGGGCTCCGCGGGCTTGTCTCTGCAGTGCGCGATCCCCGGGGCCCTACCGTGGGCGGTGGGCACAAAGACGTTGCGGGGACCCAGCACCCCCGCGACGGTGGGGTCTGTCAGACGGCCCCTTTCCTCGGACAGCCGCTGCTCTCCCGGGGTCAGCCTGGGGCGTGACGAGGGCGGCGAGGGTCTGCGCACAACCGAGAGTACAGGGCAGGCAGGGCAGGGGCCGCAAGTCGGGGCCAGGTCCGCGCCCCCGTGGCCCCGCCTCCGAGGTTCCGTTAGGTCCGCGTTAGGCCCCGTCCCGCGCCCCTGGTTCCGTTCGGTCCCGCGCTAGGCCCCGCCCCCGCGCCCTTGGTTCTGTTCAGCCCCGCTCTAGGCCCCGCCCCCGCCCCGCGGTTCCGTCCGGTCCGCGCTAGGCCCCGCCCCCGCGCCCGTGGTTCCGTTCGGCCCCGCGATAGGCCCCGCCCACCGGACGTGCGCATGCGCAGCCGTGTTTGCGGCGAGGTCGTGACGGCGGCCGTGCGGTGAGTGCCTGGATGAGGGAGGACGGTGGGCGGGTGGGCGCACGGGCAGGGGCGGGGGCCGCGTGGACGGGGTGGGCGTCCTCTCCGTCGGGGCGGGGCCTGCGCTCCCCTACGGCGTGGCCGGGAGCGAGGTCCCGGCTTGGACGGGGGTGGGGATGCGCTGCACAGGGCTCCGGCCGCCCCGCTTGCAGGTGAGCCCTGTGCTTGTGCAGGGGAGCCCTGTGCGGGGGAGCCCTGTGCAGGGGAGCCCGGTGTTTGTGCGGGGGAGCCCTGTGCGGGGCAGCCCTGTGCTTGTGCAGGGGAGCCCTGTGCCGGGGAGCCGCGGAGCTCGGGAAGCAGCAGGGCGCGGCTGTGAGCCTTCCTCAGGCAGCTCCCAGGGCCCGCTCGCTGTGCGTTCTCGCCGAGCGCTTCCTGTCCCTAAACACTGGAGCTGCGCCTGTGCGCCTGTGCTGGGGTCTCCGGGTGGCCTGGACCACGTGCACTGCCTGGCAGTGGGGAGCTGTGAGAAACGGGGAGCCTGATGGGCCGCTGGATGGGCCGGTGCACCCTGCGGGGTGGTCTCCGTGCCGGGGAGACCTAACTTTGCAGGCAGGATTGTGGACGGGAAAAGAGCAGGCGCCAGGCAGTATGTATCCCCGGTCCTTTTTTAGGGGAAAAATTAGTAAGAGCTTATATTTAGTGAATCGATTGAATTGAAAATAGTAATGCGGCCTGGAGCTGGCTTGGAGGATTACAGGGTTTTATTTTTGTATTTATATGCTTGGTCAGATTTTCTGAATTTTGTTCTGTTCCTGGAGTCTGAATTTCTTTTGATTTTGGAAGAAACATTTTTACACACGACCAAACCATCATTCTCAAAGTGATACACACATGGGTCTCACACAGACAGTGAACACGTGTCAGGTGACTTTGGTCTCCTTGACTATGGACCCAGCAGGATGAAAAGCCGGTTCAAAAACGAGTGAATGAAAGGGTCGGAGAGGCATGCCGGGTGAGGCAGGGCAGTGGTGAGTGTCTGGGCCCACTGAAACCACAACCGCGCACTATCTCTTCCTGGGGCCGAAAGGGGAGGATAGCCCCTTATCAGCGTCATGGTTTAACCTCTGACTTCTCTGACCGAAATGGCCGGTCCCCAGGAAAGGGTGACAGTTACCTCCCAAGTCAAGTGATCCTCACGAGGTTTGTTAAGCAGTCATCCAGCATGATGTAGAAAGCATACACCCTTCCTCATTTCCAAGTTTTGGATCAATTATCGTAGCCAAATACAGAACTGCTAGTATTTGGCAGTTTAGCAATTTAGCCCCTGGTGAACTCTTCAGTGGGCGTCAGATGGAGTTCTCAGCGTCCTGGTGGCCACGGAGTCTCATCCCCGGAGACAGGGCTGACACGTCACACTGTGGCCCTGAAACTAATGCTTGTTAAATTTTTAAAAAACGGCTGGTTCAGCGCAATGCATCCACTGAAACCAGCGAATCTTAGAAAGACGAGGTTTGTAGATAGATTTTTTTTCCAAAAGAAAACAGCTGCAGAGAGTTGGGTGGGGGACCCTGGGCCCCTCTCTAGGAACCAGTGCCTCCCCCCCGACCCCCACAGCTCCGCAGCCACCTGGACTTAGACGCCTTCCAGATGGAAACAGAGCCTGAGGTGAGCTGTTGGGCCTCCGCTGTCCCCGAGAGGGAACAGGGACTTCCAGCTGTGACCACCCGCTAGACTTCAGGCCCCAGAAAGGAGCCCTCCAGTTTGGGAGGCGGGCACGTGGCAGTGGGACGGCGGTGACCCTAGTGTCCTCTGTGCCATCTCAGAGGGATGTGATCAGGGTGACAGGCCAGGGAAGGACAGAACTGGAGGTCGGCCCCACCCTGTCTGCACTGCCTCGCTGGCTGGCACCCGTCTGTCCCAGCTCCGCTCTCCTGTTTTGTTTCGACATCTGACTCTTAACTACTGTCTTCAGCTGTTTTTGTTTTAAATATGTATTTATATGTATATATATGATACTGTCCTCAAAAAGGTCTAGAAGGCTCCTCACGTTCTCCATGGTGTACTTTAAAATAATTTTTAAGTCTATTTATTTTGAGAGAAAGAGAGTGAGGGGAGGAGGGGCAAAGAGAGAGAATCCCAAGCAGGCTCTGCACTGTCAGCACAGAGCCAGACGCGGGGCTCGATCCTGTGAACCGTGAGATCGTGACCTGAGCCGAAATCAAGTGTCCGATGCTTAGCCGACTGAGCCCCCCAGGCACCCCTCTGTCGTGTACCTTAAAGGACAGTGTTTTTGCTCGGATTTCTGAGCCCTTGCAGCCAGTTTCCCATCACCCACGTGAAGAGCTGGCCCGCCCCCGGCCGCCTTACTTGGGCCTCCTCAGGAGCCCTGTGCCTCCGTCCTTGCCTCACGTGGTCTTACTGTCAGCGACTCAAGCATGTGGTTCTGAAACATGTGGACCCAGGAACGGGCCTGTGTCCTACCATCCTCCAGAGGACTGTGAGTTTGGTGAGCGGATCCCTGTCTCAGAACCTCCGCTTTTCCATTCCCTTTACCCGGGACGGTGCACGTCTCCACCCTGGAGGCACACTGAGGCCGTCCCCTCCTGGGCCCTCAGGACCCCCTGGTCCCTACGCTGCTTGGTAGGGGGCAGGAGCCTCAAGGGAGGGGCAGTAGAAAAGAGAGACTCACAGTGGCTTGCTTTGAGCGTTTCTTTCCAGCAGGATAATCAGCTTTTCTTTGATTGTGTGTGGCTCACATTTAAAGCCACTGCCGCTGTGTGCTGCCTTTGAGTTCCGCTGACCTTGTTTGGAAGAAGGAAGAGACTGGGCCACCCCACCTGAGATTTCCTGGGTTTTCACAACCAGATGGGGAGCGGAGGTCATGCCAGTTCAGTGGCTCCGCACCTGCCTCAGGGCACCCGCGTGCTTAGGAAATGCCCAAGCGTGGCCGTCCCTCCAGGGCCGTAAAGGCAGAATCTGGAGGTGGGCCCAGTCACAGGCATCTTCCACGCGCGTGGAAGAGACACCACAGGCGATCGATTGTGCACCATGGGCCGGGGCTCTGAGGGCCGTCTGGTCACATGCCAGTGCAGTCTGAATCAGTGACCACGCCTGGGCTCTCCTGCAGACGGCCTAGTCGAACATGCCTGGCATGTGGTAGGTGCTTCCTGTTAGTACCCAATGCCCACTCTCCCGCATTTATGTAGATTTTTTTATTCTCACAGTCAGAAACAGGCCCAGCATGGCCCTAAATAGTGGAACCACGGTCGGATTCCACCGTTCTTATTCCTTTGGCCGTGGCACCCTGGGGTCCCTCGATCCTGAGCCCAAACTTCCTGATACAGCACTTGTCCTGGCTCACCAGTGGGCCGAGCCTGAGGCTTAGAGGCCCGAGCAGAGGAGCCACAGAAGCTGGGATCCTTGGCTAAGAGCATATTCACGCAATCGTGGCAAAATGGGAACTGTCACCCGGACCTCGTGACTGGCTCGTGGGAGAGTACAAGAAGTCTTCGGGGGAGTCCATAGTTTAGCAGAGTTTACAGTTTTGTGCAGGGTGACTCTTGTAATGGTTACCATCACGTGCTTGGAGGTGAGGCTTCCTTTCTACCCAACCCTGGAAATCTGCAGGAAGTTGACCTGCACCTGTAAACTTCAGCCTCCCCCACCCTTGTGGGGTCAGGAGGTGACTCTCCAGAACCGGATTGTTCTGTGTGCTTTTATGAGACAGGTGTGGGCACCAGCGGACACAGAGCAGAGGCTCAGGAGAACCAGGGTTATCACACTCGTGGGCCCTGGAGACGGGCCCTGCCCGCCCCATGCTGGGCCCCATGGGAAAGTACCGGTCGGGAGACAGGACAAGGTTTAGGCTGCAGCCTTTGTTGGGGTTTCCATGGGAAAGGCAAGCAGGTCAGCGTGAACGCGAGGACTGGCTCGCTTGAACGATTTCGGTGGGCTTTGGTGGACCCTGGGACGGTCAAGGCAGAGCAGTAGTGCCTCCAGGTGCAGGGGCTGGATGGGGAGGCAGGACTCTGATGGGTTAGGTCCCTGCTTTGCTCTCTCAAGAATGGGCTGGCCTGGGAGGGGCGGGCTGCCCAGCCAGGAAGGTTTTTACGATGTCGGAGTGTGCAGGGGAACAAACGCAACACACCAGCGCACAGACGCCCAGGTGCTCTCGCCAGCCTGTCATCTATTAGACTGACCTGTGTGCACGTGCACTTGTACGTGTTTTTGGGGGCGTGTGAATCACAGGAGCAGAGAACGAGTCCGTGAAGCGGCCAGCGCAGCCCCCTCAGCGCCTTCAGTCCTGTCCGATACAGAGCACTCCTGGGCACGGGCACGGGCGATGGCACAGACTCGGGACTCCCGGGGGGACGTGTGTGTACGTGTGTGCTTTTGTCTTTCCTCCCTGAATCGATTCATACCCACAAAGAGCCAGCCTGCCATAGAGCTTGGTTCACTCAGAAGTAGGAAGACAAATGCTTCTATGATCTTTGCCTTTGATTACAGGACCATTATCAAATCCACGAGTTCAGTAGTTAGAAAAGGTGCCTCTGTGGTTTGGGTTAAAGGAGCTAGTACTTCCTACGTCCCGACAGTGGTCACCGTGACTGGGCAGAGTAGTTCTTTTCGCCGAGTAGTCACAAATGGACAGCTGTGGCTCTGGGCTCACAGCCCGCAGTTCAGCTAGACATGGTGACCTCCGCAAGGATGGACAGCTGGAACGCACCGTGGCCCCTGCCCAGTCCTGCTCCTTGTTGCCCAGATGTGGGTGGGAGAGCCCTCCGCTCCTGAGGAGGTGCCCTGTCTGGTGAGCCCCCTGCAGGGCTGTGGGATGTGGAAGGTGTGGGCAGGAGGGGGACCAGGGGGGACTCTGGCCACTTTGCTAGCACCTGATCCTGGGGTTCCCTCCTGCACATTGGGGTCCCGCGCTGCGAGGCTGACACAGAACGCTTCAGAGGTCCCTTCCTCCTGTTCTGAGGGCTCGAGAATCTGGCCTTGGCAGCTTCACAGACAACGCGTCCAAACTTACGTAAATGTGACCATGGGAGCGTATATTCAACAAGTGTTTCCTGGGCCCGTCCTCTGTGCCAGGCGCCGTATCAGGCGGTGGGGGCACAGCGGCGGGCAGGTGGCCCAGCCCCGCCCACAGAGAGCTGCTTGTCTCGTGGAGGCCAGGCTTCCAGAGAGGGCTTCTGGAGGAAAAGGCGTTGATGCCGAGATCGGAAGGATAAGGGCTGACAGGTGGGGCCGGGTGGGGAAAGGACTCTTAGAGGACCCAGCGCCAGCAGGAGCCCAGAGGTGAGGGACACGGGCTTTCAAACAGCTGCCTGTGCAGGAGGGCCGTCGGGTGGGGCAGGGGGCAGGTCAAGAGCCACCACCCGACCCCGTCCTGGGAGCACGGTGCTCAGACTCTGTGGGGACGCGTGTGAAGGGCAGGAGCATGGGTTTTGGTGACCTTCCTCTAGCGGTCACCACAGTGCAGTCTGTTGCGCTAACTAATATAAAACGTACGACAGCCGTCTTCTAACGTGGAGGCGGGAGGGTCCTTAAATGTATTGGAAATCCAGCCAGAAGTTCCTCTTAGTCTCCAAACTCTGCCGGACTTGAGGTCAGCAACAGCAAATGGGCCGGTTGTGAAAAGAAGAAATATTTTTTTGGTTTTTATTTCTGGGCAAAGAATGAAGTTTTGTTTTTACATTGTTACAGAGAAATTATTGGGTTATTTCAATTGCACTTACTGTTTGAGTGGGTAAGTATGTTTGTAATATCTTCTCTGCGTGTAGCCGCCGCTGGTGTAGGAGAAAAGGATTTGGAAACGGGGCAGTGGTAAGCGATACCCACACCCTCCTTTGTGTCTTTACGTACTGAGCGTAGGGGATGTTTTTCACGGTTGGAATCAGAATTCCCACCTTGTGTTTGAGAGCTGACGTGGTCCAGGGTGGGAGGTGGGTTTCCTCCGGCAAGGACTCAGCATAGCCCCCTGCCTGGGCGGGACACGCTGTCCTTCCCGGTGTCCAGGGCGGGGATAGGCACACGCGGGTGGCCTCGTCCCTTTCCCATCCAGGCCTTGCACTGGCTTCAGATGGGAGTGTGGACGGGCTTCACGCCCTAGGCAGGTTAACAGACTAGAACTGGGGACTTGGGTTTTCCTCCGGTTTATAAGGACCCTGACGTGACGGGTGATGATAATCCTTGTGCTGAGTCCTGCAAACACCTTCTGTGTGCCAGACGTTACTGCAGCCCGTCTACACAGCCGCCCCTGCTCCTGTGCTCCCGACAGTGATTTCTGCGTGCGGAGAGCGAGCGCAGACAGTGTGAAGTCTGCACGCAGCCCGACCGGGGCGTGTACCCTGCACAGTACTGTGTGCGGCCTGTAGAGGGCAGGGCAGGGCTCTCCCTCGGGGGTGTGAGGAGAAGCTTTCACAAAGCGTATCCCGGTGTGGTTGCCTAAGTGTCTCACCCTGTGGAGCGTGACCCAGGCTGTGAGCGGGGCGTCCCCGCGGCAGAGTCCCGGATGGTGTGTGCCATCAGCCTCACCACTGCTGCTGTCCCACCTCCCGGCTCCCATGCCCTCTCCTTTCCTCCTCAGGTGCTGCCGGTGGCGCTTCCCTGCTTTGTGTGTGTGTGTGTGTGTGTGTGTGTGCATGCGCATGCCTGCCTGCCTGCCTGCCTGTCTGCAAGCCCGTGAGGACAGAGGGCTTGTGACACTCCCTCTCCCAGCACTGTGTGCGTCCTGCAGGAGCAGAGAAGCGGGGGGGCCCCCATCCCGTCCACACATGTGAGCCTGTCTTCCTTCTTCAGGTCGGAGACGAATACATGACGAGCCCAGACGCACCTGCACGGACGGTGCCTCGTGGGACGAGACGCGGCGTGGGCGCCCGAGCCCTGCTTTGGTCCTGGGACGCCTTTAATCCTCCGCACCTAGGACGATGACTCATGTGAGCGATGGCGGCACGGCAGGGAGCATTTTCGACCTGGACTACACGTCCTGGAAGATCCGCTCAACGCTCGTGGTCGCCGGCTTTGTCTTCTACGTGGGCGTCTTCGTCGTCTGCCACCAGCTGTCATCCTCCCTGAATGCCACCTACCGCTCCCTGGTGGCCAGAGAGAAGGTCTTCTGGAACCTGGCGGCCACCCGCGCGGTCTTTGGCGTTCAGAGCACGGCCGCGGGCCTGTGGGCCTTGCTGGCGGACCCCGTGCTCCAGGCCGATAAGGCGCGCGGCCAGCAGAACTGGTGCTGGTTTCACGTGGCGACGGCAACGGGATTCTTTCTCTTTGAAAACGTCGCGGTTCACGTGTCCAACGTGCTCTTCCGGACGTTTGACTGGTTTCTGGTCGTCCACCACCTCTTTGCCTTCCTGGGCTTTCTCGGCTCGGTGGTCAACCTCAGAGCCGGCCACTACCTGGCCATGATCACGCTGCTCCTGGAGGTCAGCACCCCCTTCACCTGCGTTTCCTGGATGCTCCTGAAGGTGAGTGTTTCTGCGGGCGTGGGGCTCACCTGTCCTCTCTGCCCTCGTCAGCACGACCTGGGGAGCCGGGCAGGGCCCCCTTCCCGTCTCGCGTCCGTGCCACGGCTTCCCTGTGCGCCACGCTCGGGGTCCCCGCCAGACCAGGTCATGGCGTCCACAGTAACCTCTCATTTTGTTGAATTCCGTGTTACTAATTTTTTTAACGTTTATTTATTTTGAGAGAGAGGGAGAGAGAATCCCAAGCAGGCTCCACGCTGTCAGAGCAGAGCCCGACGAACCGTGAGATCACAACCTGAGCAGAAACCAAGAGTCAGACGCTTAACCGACTGAGCCACCGGGCGCCCCTCCGTGTTACTAATTTTATTTTATTTTATTAAAAAAATGTTTTTAATGTCATTTATTTTTGAGAGAGGGAGAGAGAGACAGCACAAGTGGGAGAGGGGCAGAGAGAGAGGGAGACTCAGAATCCAGAATCCAAAGCAGGCTCTGGGCTCCGAGCTGTCAGCACAGAGCCCGACATGGGGCTTGAACCCACGAACTCTGACATGACCTAAGCCGAAGTCGGATGCTTAACCGACTGAGTCACCAGGTGCCCCTGCTAATTTTAAACAAATGTTTTAAGCTTCTGGCTCCATAACAAAACAGTGGATCTGAGCTGATCGTATTCTGTAAGCCCCAGAAAAGGTGATTTTGTTTTTCTTTCTTTCAAATGTTTTTGAAACAAGGTCCAAAAGTGTACATATGAATACACACATCTTTCTGAAATGTTTATCTCATGTTATGTTAACACTTGAGATCTACCCTTGTAACCAGTTTTTAGGTAACGGTATTATTGCAGCTCTTTTGAGCTTGTCTCCCATTGCGTGGCCGACACTTCATGTCTGGTGATAAGTAGCTCCCTGCCGCCCTCCTCCAGCCCCGGGCACCCGGCATTCCACACTGAGCTGTGAGTTTGACCATTGTAGGTAACTCGTATCGTGGAACCATGCGGTGTTTGTCCTTCTGTGATGGGCTCGCCGCTCTGAGCATCACGTCCTCAAGACTCATCCACGTTGCATATCAAAGATTCTCCTTTTTTCAGGCCGAACAGTTTTCTGTTCTGTGTGTACAGCACACTTTCCGTGTCTGTGCACCTGCCTTGGGCGCTGCGGTTGTTTGTGTGTCTTAGCTGTTGTGCGTCACAGGGAAGGAGCTAACAGCTCTTCGAGATCGTGATTTCGGTCATTTTGGAAAACTACTCAGAAGTGGGTTTGCTGGATCTTAAGGTAGCTCGGTGTTAGAGAGTAAAACCTCCGAACCATTTTCCACAGCGGCTGCCCCATCTTCACTCTCCCCACACTGCGAGGCTTCCTGTCTCTCCACACCCTCGCCAACGCTCGTCTCGTGTGCTTGACGACAGCCGTCCTGACAGGTGCGAGGCGGCTCCTCCCTGTGGGTCCAGGTTCCGAGTGATGCTGAGCATCTTTTCATACAGCTGTTGGCCTCTCTGGAAAACGGTTCAAGTCCTTAGGCCATTTTTTGAATCTGATTTTTTTTTTTGTTTTTTACTATCGAGTTGTGGTTCTTTATGTATGTTGAAGACTAATCTGTTATCAGTTATGTGGTTCACAGATATTTTCTCCCACTCTGTAGGTTGTGTTTTCACCCCAGTGAGCGTTTCCTTTGCTTAAAGCAGGATATTCGTTTGATGCAGCCCGTTGTTTGTTTTTATATCTGTTGCCTGCCCTTGGTGTCTATCCATGAAATCATTGCTAAGACCAACGTCATGAAGGTTTTTCCCCCATGTTTTCTTCCAGGAGTCTCAGCTTTGGGTCTTATTTTTAAGACTTGAGTCCATTCTGACTTGCCTTTTGTGTCTCGTGTGGGAACGTGGTCCCATTTCGTTCCTTTGCACGTGGCTGTCCGGTCTCCCCAGCAGCACCTGTCGAAGGTACTGTCCCTGCCCCGTTGTCAGAAATGGACTGATCATACCTGGTGAATTTCTCTCTGGGCTCTGCGTTCTGTTCCATCGGACTGCGTGTCAGTGCCGGGCAACTTTGATTAGCTTTGAGATAGAGTTTGAAATCAGGAAGTGTGATGCCTTCATCGTTGTTCTTCTTTCTCAAGAGTGACATGACTATTTGCGGTCTTTTGTGGTTTCCTGTGAATTTGAGAATTGTTTTTTCTGTTTCTGTAAAAAAGCATCGCGATTCTGGTAGGGATGGCGTTACATCTGTAGATCACTTTGCTAAACTTTCTAGTGAACTTTTCTGTTCTTCACCGTGTTCTCAGCTCCTTGATTTCTGTCTGGTACTTGTTTTTAAACATTCTTCTGTCTGGCTTGAAATTCTCGCTTGTGGTCATGCATGTTGTTCTCGTGACTTCAGTGAGCATCTTCGTGACAGTTGTGTGTAATTCTCTGTCACGTAAACCCTTCGGTCCCGTCTCACCAGGGGGTGCTTTTGGAGGGTTCTCCTTGTTCCTTGGTTCAGAGCTCCCTTGCCTGGTCCCACTCCCGGCTCCGTTGCTGTCTGTGCATTAGACCAGGAGGGCACCTCTCCAGGTCTGCACACACTCCTCACATGGGACACGACCCCGCTGGTCAGCCTGGCCCCAGGCTCTGGGGCAGAGCAGGCCGCTGTGGGGTCGACCAGCCAAGCCATTGCCGCTGCTCCCCGTGGGCAGCCGGGCTCTGCTGGACTGTCAGAACTCCAGGACTGGCGAGCTCGAGGCCAGTCCTCCGGGAGCCCCTCGGAAAAGTTGGGGTGCTGGGCGCTCCTTCCTCCTCTGGGGTCTCTTCCCGATCACGTGGTGCGGGAGGGTGCCCTGAGTGCTCCTCCCGGCCGCGGCGAGCGTGGGCTCTCCTGCACAGGGGCCTCTCCATCGGTGTCGCATTTCTCACGGAGGGACTGTGTGTGTGAACGGTTGCTAAATCAGTGTCTGTGGGGAGGGCGGATCCAGGCTTCCTGCCCGCCGTCTCACTGGCGGCTGTCACACATCGGGATGGTTTTCTCGTGTTTTTGTTTCTGAATAAGGTTGTTTAGGACCTGGAATTGTTATCTGTGTATTTGTTTCCTTTATGTTTTCAAAAGCGTGTTTTTAAAAAACGTGTGTCGTCTGTCTACATCTTGATTCTTATTCTGAGATCAAGATGTTCACGTTAAACTCTTAGAATCAGATTCTGGCCATCTCGTATGACACGTTCACAGCCTGTTTTACGTGAAACTTGAGACACAGCTTTTTGTTTTGTAAACGTCTACTGCAGTCAGCACACATGGGTTGTGTCACTCCTGCACACTGTGGTAAGCTTTGGGAGAAAACAGAGAAGTAGGAAACACCACACTGCCTTCAGGGTCCTTGGGGGTCGATGCTGTACGCACACCGGAAGTGAATTAGCGGTGTAAGTGTGCAGACTTTCGTACGTACCTGGCCACGTGCCCAGCAGTCCCGTCGTCCCCCAGGGCCGCCCCACCCGGTGCCACAGGAGGATGTGGCAATAGAGGGGCAGGTGCCGTGGAGGGGGACAGGGGGCCGGGCTGGCAGGTGCACGGGGCGCTACAGCAGCCGGGCGGTTTAAGCACCTGGACAGCTGCTCGTGGATGGGGGGCTTGGGGATGGCGTGAGGTCCTTGGACAGGAGTGATCTGGGGGGAGGCTGGAAACCGTTAATGGAGTGAAGGAGCGTTTCAACTCAGCTGAGCTCTGAACGGTCATGGAAGCCGCTGGTCCGGGTGTGGGTCATTTTAGGTAAGGTGCTGTGACTTGGGACCCGCCCACTCACGCCACGTGGCTTTTCGGCGCTGCCCTCGTGGGTGTCCTCCCCACGGAGCGGGGCCTCCTGAGGACGGAGGGCAGGGCGGACGCTTCCCTGTGCCCTCTGGCTGTGAGCACGGCACCGGTGGCATCGTGGCCGGGTGTGGACGGAGGGTGTGCGGGTCAGACAGGCGGTGGCCCAGCCGTCCTGTCTTCTCTGCCCCCTCACACGTGAGAACACCAGGCTTCACAGCAGACGTGGCTGCGGCGGGAAGGGATGTCCCCGAAAGGAGCCGCGTCCATCCATGCGCTGGGACACCGTGCCCCGTGGTGACCGGCACCACAACCCACAAGACACGCGAGCTTGGGCTGTGATTCGCGTGTTCCGAGAAGATAGATTATTAGTTATGTCAAATTTTTGTCATTTTTTGGAGGATGCTCTTAAAAAGAAGAAATGAAATCTTTCTCTTTCCTGTGCTCGGGCGGTCGGTGTCGAACGGCTTCACGGTGTCTTTCCAGACCTGTTTGTGCCCCGCCTGGAGCAGGGCTGCTGGGGGTCTCCAGGTGTCTCCCTCCTCAGGTGTGCTGGGAGGCCCGACCTCCGGTCCCCAGCATCCCCACGAAGAAGGCGGACTCTAGCCGTGGGGGGACGCGGGCGACAGGCCTGGTTTGGGCCGTTTTCTGCGGTCTCTGCGGTTTGCCGGGCGCTGTGTACGCAGGACGGAGAAGGGGGTCTTGGTGTGGTCGCTTCTCAACACCATTCGCTGTGTTGACTCTACGGAGCAAGCAGGTCCCAGCGACAGAACTGTGCCCTAAAACGCGGTAGCTCAGGTCAGAAACTCTAGCTGTTTCCTTGCAGTTCACACGCTGCTGTATGTATGTGCCGCCTGACGTGTGGAAATCCTTTTAGCCTTTAATAAAGTCGCCAAATCCACACACGGTTGGGCGTCCTGTTCAAGAATCTGCCCACCATCCAGGTCTGATTTGATGGCACACTGAAGGGTGTGAATCAAGACCGAAAATGTCACCGTCGTGTAAAGACGGGTCTCTATCTCAAAAGCAGGGGCCCGTTCTTAGCGTCTCCCCCTCGGCTGGGATTCCGCAGTGTGGCTTGGACTCACACGGGACTCGCACACTGGGTGATACGGTTAATCTAGGACGCACCGGCCCATGACGCGAAGTGGGTGAGGTAGAAACCGTTGCTGTCGTGCGTGTGTCCTGTGCGGTGCTCACCGCCGGGAGCCGGGGCCGCACAAAGCCCTCTCTGTGTGCGTTGTCACAGAGCTCGTTCCTGTCCCCGGCTTTTCTCGGAGCTCCGTCACCTCGTGACACTGAGGAATGCCAAAGAACGCTCGGTCCCCCAGCTTCGAGCTTTCCAAACGTAACCTAATTATTCCACGGGGAAGAGTTCGTGTTTGTGATACGAGTATTCATGATTTAAGAAGACTGCTTTTAGTGGCGAGGGAAGACTCACCACTTAGAGACTGAGGCAGGGAGGCTGTCTGCGGGGGCCCGAGGCTCCGGCCTCAAGAACCCGCGTGCCTGCAGACGGACAGTCTGTTAGAGCCTCCACGGGGCTCCCAGTCTGTCGGATTCTTTTCTCTCCTCCTCTTCCCGTAGGTGCTTTCCTCTACACCTAGAGGAAATTTAAACTCTGCCGGAATAAATAGAATGTTCCTCTGGGCGCTGTTTACGCCTAACTTAACTCTCAGCAGTACTAGAAAACATGCCTGGGTGTGTCCGATCTGAAAGTAGGAGGCCATTCACATTTCTTGTGGCGTTAGTTTTGGGCCAAGCTCACCGTATTTCAGATGGCAAGGAAATTTCTTGTCTTTCTGACTTTCTTTGCCCTAAGTCATCATTTCCACGGAGTCTCCTTTTCCTTTGTCCGAGCCGTGATGACACTTTTATGACCTCAGAGTTAGGATTCCTTTCCTGTTTTTTAAAAACAGACTCACTCTTGGAAATTGGTTTGCATCCTCCTCAGGGTTCGGCAGACGTGGCTCAAGTGAAGCCTGATCCTTTTCCTGAGGTCGTTTCTGCTGCCTGCTCTCGGGGCCTCTCTGCCTCAAACTGCTGACTTTCCTTGTGCAGAAGCAACACAGTGTCCCCACCCGGGGAGGGGCCACCTGTGGCCCGGAGCTCCCGAGGGAGATTGTGCAGCTTGGGGTCAACGGAGACGAGGTCGGAGAGGCTGGTGTGTGGAAGGTCTGAGGGGTGCGGGGATGCGGGGGTGCTGGATGTCCTCTGTCACCTGGCTGGGGGCCCACCGTCCTGGCACCGGAGTGGCCTGGTGCTGGCCAGGCCCCGCCTTCGCGTCCAGGATCTGATGGGCCATCTTCAAGTTCTCTGTTCGGTTTTGGCTACAAGTCTTGGAAACTGGTTTTAGTGTAAAGTCAGAATAATTTTAAGGAAAGTCCACTTGTGCCTGCGTCCGTGGGCTCCGGGGGTAAAGGACCCAAGATGAAACCAGGAGGTAAGCGTGTATCACCCTCAGCCTCCCTGTCCCCAGAGGCCCTTCTCCCAGGGCTTGCTGGCGGCCAGTGTGTGTGACTCAGGGTTAGAAAGGGGACTGAAGTGAGACTGGAAACAGGTCTGGCCTCGGCTCCTGGGAGCACGAATCCGGGAGCGGACGGGTGGCCTTGCTCCGGGGCGATGCCCCCGGGAGGGGGAGCGGGGGAGGGGGGGCACGGCTGTTGCGGGCACGGGGGCTGGGCGCACCCAGGTGGTGAATTCGTGGTGGGCGTGACGTCTGGGCGGCCGCGTCCTGACGCGTGTGCTCTGTCCCACAGGCCGGCTGCTCCGACTCCCTGTTCTGGAAGCTGAACCAGTGGCTGATGATCCACATGTTCCACTGCCGCATGGTGCTCACCTACCACATGTGGTGGGTGTGCTTCTGGCACTGGGACGGCCTGCGCAGCAGCCTGCACCTTCCGCACCTGGCGCTGTTCCTCGTGGGGCTGGGTCTGCTCACGCTCGTCCTCAACCCCTACTGGACCCATAAGAAGACGCAGCAGCTCCTGACCCCGGCGGACTGGAACTTCGCGCAGCCGGAGCCCGGAGGCGGCCGGCCCGTGGGGGCTAATGGCCAGGTGCCGCAGAAGAAGGGGCAGTAGCCGCTCGGAGCCCAGGGCCCCGGGGCGCAGGCGGCTGCTGTCCACGGGCTCCGCGAGGTCCCCGCCGCAGACTCTCGCGGAGTGAGGCAGGGACCGCGCTGTCCCCGGCGCTCTTTCCGAGTCACACTGACTGTGCTGATTTCCCGGTGGCCGCAAAGGGTGTGGCAAAGCCTGGCTTTGCCTCTGGGGGCACATTTTTGCCGTCGCGACCCTGTCGCCTGCTGTGGTTTGCTCCTGTGCGCCTAACCGTGTGCGGCCCTGTTGACCATCAGGGAGGGCGTCACGGTGGCGGCCGGGCCACCTGTCCAGGAGGAGGGAGCGCTCCCGGTGCCGGGCGTGACTCGGCATCAGCAACCCTCCCCCGCACCCCCTTCCCCGCCGCTGTGGCCGTCAGGTCAGCATCCGGTCTGTCCGGTCACACGGTCAGCAGTTTGTGTGTCCTATCTGGTGGTGGTGACCTTCTTAGCCGCAGGGCACTGTCCTCGGACAGAAGGGGTCCTGTTTGGGCCCCTTGTTAGAATCTCCGTGGATGGAGAGGCCAGCCTGGCTGCGGTCGCGCCATCTGGTGGCGAAGCCGCGGGCGGGCCCCTTGCAGGAGTGACCCTCCCCCCCTTGGGGGACGGAGCCAGCCTGGTGGGTGTGTGTGCTCCAGTGCAGGCTGTGGGGTCACGCAGCAGGGGATCTCCAGTAAAACCAGAAGCGTGTATTCACACTCTCTTGGTCACTTGGTAAAATAAGGTAGATGTTCGGTAATCAGACCTGTCTGGATTTTAGAGCCGTTTTCAACGGACCGAGTTGCCGGTGTGCTTCCCAACTGGACCCTCATTCCGTGGCTGGCGTTCCTGAGGGTTTCAGGGCCAGGCACTGGGCACTCTGCCCTGCGAGCTGGGAGGGCAGGCATGCCGCCTTCACCTGCCGCCTCCTCGGGAAGGCGGGCACCAGCCTAGCACGTGTGCGGGGAGGTCCGGGGCCCCCCCGCTTCCAGAGCTCGCTTAGGTGCATGCCTCCACTGTTAGCAGAGATGTGTCCGCCGAGTAACGGCCTCTCCTGTGAAAGTGAGGGTCCCCCCGCCCCGACTTCCTTTAGTCCGCGAGAACAGGCACCCAGTAGGTCTTGTGTAACAGCAAAGTGCTGCAAAGGGGGTCCTTCCAGCTCACGAGAGGTTTCAGGGGACCGCCCTACTGTGGGCAGTGGGGGACACACGTACAGACATTTGATTCTGGCCTGGGGTGTGCAATTAAAATTAGGTTTATTTTTTTTCTTTTGAAAGCCTCTTTGACGTCTTTGCAAAAAACATGCGTTTATTGGTCACGGAAACGTCCGACTCGTGTTTAAGTGACAGGGCGCTCACGGCGGCGATATTGGTTACTGCTGCTTCGGCTTTATGCTTAGGTCAAGATCCGTAACACCCGTTTATCTCCTCGTAAGGAGTGATTGAAGCCTCAAAGGTACCCCGCAAACCGCGTCCCCCAAAGACGACTAACTCACGATCCTGCGGCCCCCGCCCTTCTTGTGGAACAGACTTAGCTGGTGTCTTCCAATGGCACAGAAGCTTAATAAAGTAACTTATGTTTATGGACCCAAAAGGATGTCCGTTCTTGTCTCTCCATACTGTTTGGTCGGTGTGAGTCGCTTGTCTTGGAGACACCAGGTGATGACCCATGTCTGTTCACACTTCAGGTTAAAGTATGAAATATTTAGCTTACTTTTTACGTGACCCACATCAGGATTTGACCTTCCCAGGGCTCCCCCCTTACACCCCACATCTTTATAACGACGCAGTAGTCGTGTGTGGAGAGGGAAGGACCAGATAGCACGAGAGCTTGGCCCGCGCACACTTTCGTGCTCCCTCTGACCAGGGACTTCCCACAAGGAGCAGCAAGGCAGGCGTGTGCGTAGAAGAGGCTTTTTTTTTTTTTTTTTAATTTTGTTTTTCTTTTTTCAACGTTTATCTATTCCTGGGACACAGAGAGACAGAGCATGAACGGGGAGAGAGGGAGCAGAGGGAACAGGGAGAGAGAGAGGGAGACACAGAATCGGAAACAGGCTCCAGGCTCTGAGCCATCAGCCCAGAGCCCGACGCGGGGCTCGAACTCATGGACCGCGAGATCGTGACCTGGCTGAAGTCGGACGCCCAACCGACTGCGCCACCCAGGCGCCCCTAGAAGAGGCTTTTTGAACCCTGTTGATCCAGGACCCACACACCTTTATTGCTCAGGGGCTGGTAGGGCCTTCAGAGTTGTAGGGAGCTTTCCGGGCTCCGCGCCAGGCCAGGCCACCTGGCACCGGCTGTGGCGTGGCTCAAGGCTGCCGGGACACAGGCATCTGCAGCTGGACGTGCAGCAGGGGAGCCCCGTGTGACTCCCACGCTGTCTGCAGAGAGAGCGGGTGGGCGCTGGACAGGGCGAGTGCACGTAGCAGCCAGAAATTCTGGAATCTCAGGGCGCCTGGGTGGCTCTGTCGATTGACTGTCTGACTTCAGCTCCGGTCACGATCTCGCGGTCAGGGAGCTCGAGCCCCACGTCGGGCTCTCTGCTGTCAGCACAGAGCCTGCTTCAGACCCTCTGGCCTCCCCCCCTCTGTGGCCCCCCCTTGTCCCCTCTCTCCCTGTGTCTCAAAAATAAAAGATTCTTTAAAAATAATAAAAAAACTGGGGCCCCTGGGTGGTTCCATCAGTTAAGCGTCCGACTTCAGCCCAGGTCACGATTCACAGTTCGTGAGTTTAGGCCCCGCATCAGGCTCTGTGTTGATATCTCAGAGCCCGGAGCCTGCTTCGGATTCTGTGTCTCCCTCTCTGTCTTCCCCTCCCCTGCTCACGCTCTGTGTCTCTCTCTCTCTCTCGAAAAATGAATAAACATTAAAAAAAAATTTTTTTAATAAAAAAAATAACAACCTTAAAAAAGAAATCCTGGAATCTCGAGAAATGGGAAGATCTAGCCGCAGCAGCCTGGACTCACCTGCCGCAGGTGTCGGAGGCAGGAGCCAGCCGTGCCCTCCAGCGTGGCCCGTGGGGAGGTTAAGTACCATCGATTATCGCCTGTCACCGCACTCCGTGCTTTGGCATAGACACACTTCTCTGTGCACAGGCCGTGTTCTTCAGAACGGCCTTGGCCGAGGGGTGGCGGGAGGGAAGGACAGTGGGCCAGCGAGCGTCTTCCCTGTGGAAGCAAGACGGCCCCAGCCCTACTCGTGTGTGTTCCCAGGACCCCGCAGGCCGGGAGGCCGAGCCCCCACCCCCTTCCTCTCTCCTCAGACCCCGGGGTCTCCCCGCAGCCGGCAACCACTGCCCTGTGCTGGGTGCTGTGCCGAGTCACCTGCAGCTTCTCACCGTCCCTGCGTGAACGACCCCATGCCGGCGGTCCTATGTACACCAGGCACCTGAGTCCCAGAGGCTGCCTTCTTGCTGGTAGGTGACGGGCTGGGACGCAGCCTTCCCCGTACTGGGGCTCACTCCTCTGGTGTCAGAGCCGAGGCTCGTCGACGTGCGGTCCGCTCAGAGCGTAGGACAGCCCCTGATGGAGCCCCGTCCCGTGTTCACGCTGTCCTTGTGTGTGTCCGTCCACGGCTGACCGCACGTCCCCGTGGTGCCTGGCATGGGCCAGCCGCTCGGCCACAGGGAGCCAGGGAGGGGACAAAGCCCGATGTGGATGAGAAGGGCTCACCAGCTTGCGGGACGGGTCGTGGCGGATCTTCGTGGGAAAGGCAGGGTTGGGAGGTAGCTCGGAGGTACCTGGCAAGGCTGGTGGCCATAGGGGACATTCTTGGTGGGGAACCCGTCATGAAAGCTGGCTCAGCTGCGAGAGGGTCTCCTGCTTCCCGGAGCCCGTGGAGGCCCCAGGGGCGGCACCCATCAGGGTCCCCGAGCCTTCTCTCTGCCTCGGGGGTGTTGGTTTCAGTGTGTCTGTGTCAGCTGGCTTCACGGCACACGGAAATCGTGTTAAATCTAAGTGTTTTGCAAGGCGAAAAACTTTCCCTTATTCCATCGTGTGAGCCCTCGAGCAGATAAAAACCTTCCCTATTCCATTGAGCCCTCGAACAGACAACAGCAAAACGGAGAAAGCTGCGTCATCCTCCCTTCATGCGGTCAGATGTCAGGATGGCCCTGACCTACAGGTCACCGTCACGTGTCCTGGGGACTTCTGGGTCCCTTCCTGACCCCGTAGCCTCCCGTTCCCAGTGAGGCAGGGTCGCGGCACCTGTTAGAACTGCTTTCAGATGCACGTGACCCCCCCAGCCTCCCAGGAGGAGGTTGCAGGGGTGAGTGGGGCCGGCCCCCAGTCGGAGGGCCACCCCTGGTGTCGGGGATCCGAACACCTCCGTCCTCAGGGCTCCTTAACCCGGTGCCCACTGCGCGCTCACCCTACTCTGTCCCTGCCACACCGAACTCCTGGAGCTCCTGTGCTGGCAGGAGGGGTGCGGCTGTGCACACGGAGGGGGCACATGCAGGCCGATGCCTGCCGCCCGCAGACTGGTTTCTAACAGTGAGGGTGCCGCCCACCTAAGAATGAGTACACGTTAAGGGTCCCCAGACTCTGGTGAATCACCTCACCTCTGTCTTTGCTCAATCTGTTTTGCTCTAATGGGAAAGCTTGCTGGTTCAGTATTTCTCCTTTTAAATAAGTCTCCCCTTTGTCAGGAACTAAAACACACGGTGATATGTGCTGTTTTTTCAGCTTGACTAGAATACAGCGATGGGAGGAATTGGGGAATCTCTGTTTTCTTCCTCCTACTGACTGAGAACACAGAATGTTCTGGAACCTACTCCCAGGTATCCAGGGTCTGGTAGCCTTCCTTTCGCGTTGCCCGAGTGTCGGCGTGGAGGTGAAAGACGCCGCTCCATTCCTTCTGAGGACAGCGCGGAGCCCCAAGCACAGGCGCCTGGCCTCGCGGAGACCCCGTCGGATGAGATGGGAGCCTCACCTCCGCCCTGGGAGCCCCGCCAGGGGAGTGCAGGCCTCTGCTCACTGTGTAGCTCTTCGCGTTAGCGCTGTGCTGTTTCGTACCGGGTGGTGTTCACTCTGTGCCATGGAAGCCTTCGTGTTGTGGAGCGTGTCTGCGTGAAGCCCGAACCCCCAATGCGATGGCATTTGGAGGTGACTGGGGCAGAGCCTCCGTGATGGGAGTAGGACGCTTATTGAAGAGTCAAGAGACCAGCCTCCCTTGGGACCCTCCCGGGTGCCACCCAAGTCCGCCACCCGTACGAGGAGCGCAAGAGAGACCAAGGACAAAGGCAGGCCACTCGGGCTCCCTCCAGCCAGGTCTTAGTTTCTATCGAGAGGGGCCTTGAGTGGGTCCGGTCACGTATGCCTACCGTGCAGCTGTTACCACACCGCGTCGTTCTCTCAGGCTGTGTCCCTGGAGCAGGAGGGAAGCAGAACCCACATCCCAGGGCAAGGGTGGGGGCGAGGAGCCTCCGAGCACCCACCTCACAGGTCACCCGGCAGTGGTCACGTCTTTCCATAGACCTTCCGACACCCTCCCCCGCTCTCCTCAGGTGAGGGTACAGGGGAAGACAGGCAGTGGTCCCAGCAGGCACAGAGTCTGCCAGCACCATAACCTTGGACTGCAGCCTCCTGGTCCCCAATGATCGGTCACAGCAGCCAGACCTGACCTAGACACTTGGGCCTCCTGTCAACATTAGTGGTTCGTGTCTGCAGCCCCAAAGCAGCCAAGAGACGTAAAAACTTAAGCCAGAGTTAGAGTCCTCAGTTATTCCATGTCAACGCCTTCAATCTCAGAATTGCCTGCTGACCCATAACATGGAAAACGTTTACAGCACCTTGTAACTTTCTCAGTATTTACCTCGCCCACTTGCAAAAATCTATAAAAAGCAAAACCAGCCATCGTCAGATGGCACGTTTCAGCCACAGTTTCACTTGTTTATATTAAGATAACCCTCGGTTCTTGCCCAAGAAATTCCTGAGCCCGTTTGGTCCACCCCAGAGATTTTATTTCCATGCCAAGCAAACCCAGAGTGCACAACGTTGGGGCCAGGGGCGCTTTGTGTGTAGATACTTGGAGGCCCACCACGCTAGGACCCCCATTTTACGTCTTCTGGTGATTGCTTGAGTATGTCAGATCTAAAACATGGAGTCACTTAAAAAAAATAAAGCTCAGAAACATACCTCACTCATCAAAAGCGATTTTCTGCATTCTGATTTCAGAGTCCGTCATGGAGACTGTGGGCTGTCCCCACCCCCGTGAACCTCAGTCTGGGCATTTCCTTCCCAGGTGAACACGAGCCCCAAGAGCAGAGGCCCTTCGCCCCTTTCCTGCCTCCTGCTGGCCTCAAGTGCAGTCGTGATCCCATAGATGCACCTGCCCTTGTCCCAGAGGGGACAGGCACGCGGACCAGGGACGGCGGGACAGACAGCCCTGTGGCCTCTCGCTGCTGTATGGCCCCGGGCCACCTGCGTCCGGATCACATGTCAGGTGAGACAGACACGCTGTGTCAGCCCCAGAGCTGCCGTCCCGATAGAGCGGGTCAGCCAGGGGACACTGCTCACGCGTTAACCTTCAGAGTGTCCATACTCGTGTGTCTGGACTTCGTCCGGGGCTCAAACGAACAGGTGTAATCAGCCCTCGC